TCTCATTCTGAAATCCAAGTGTACTTTACTTACTGTGATCAAGGACTATATGTTGATTTCCATACCGGAGTCTTCGATAGCAAATTGTGCAACCGATTTTATGGCTGTTTTCAGCCAACTTTTAGAGGACAGCGGACCAGACTACCTAACTTGAAATATGACTCACTAAACGCATCCAACTTACGACACACCATTAGGACGTTTACAAAAATGTACTTTTGAGGAGGGTCACGGAGTCACCGGTTAGAATGGAGTCCGAAAAAACTAGAGACGCTGAACTTTTCGACCGGATTATAAAATGGAGAGGTGTGAATTAAGAGCATTTCTTTAGGGATTCTTGAGGTGTCTGATGGAGAATTGAAAGGGATTTTGCATACTACAGTTTATACTACTACATCCTGCCGTGTTTCCATTCATTAGTGATCCCAGAATAGAAAATAATGCCGTGAAAGGAGTCAATTTCAAATTGTTGCACTAGACCCACTCGAGAACAAAGACCACTTGTCATGTATGGTCCTGAAGGAGACTACTCACAAGGTCGCTGAAAACTCTTTGACAGCCCACTACCAGTCTCACCCTTCTTGAAGCCCCGAGTATTCGTCAACCTTGTGTTCTACCTTCGAGTTGGAAATTATCATAAAGGAGAGATTTACCTGAATCTCCCTTGAAAACCCAGTTGATTTGCAAACGAGTGTATTCGTCATAATCAGTCCGATTTGGGTTCAAGTAGGGAATAAGGTTGACGGAATCTCGGGGACTGTGCCTGCCTGATGAGTCTCAAGAAGGGCAAAACCGGTCGTGGGCTTTTGAGGAGTTTTCAGCAACCTTGTGAGTAGTATCCTGCGACATCTCGAATAGCGTACCAAATTACACATGAAGCGGCTCGTATGCAGCACATTCAGTTGGAGAACACCATAAACAGGAGATTCAGTTGAGTCTTTCGTGAAAACCCAGTTGATAGGCGAATGGGTCGAAATAATTATTATCATATAGCATTATATATATATATATAATCATATAAAATACTACCGGCCATTGGCTCTGCAAATTCATGACACCGTGTATACATTTATACTCGTTTATAGCAAATATGGATAATTTGATCTCCTGAAGAATTTTGACAAGGATGGCGTTGTATACTGAGGTAACAAGTACACATTTGTGTTTGCCCCGTGCGGACGTGAAACCTGTTCTATATAAAGTACCTGACCTCTTCAGGGGCCACCACGAAACATTCAGCGTTTCACTAGCTATCGTTCTTCCATTTGGCACAAAACACTGGTCATGGTTTACAATGTGCACTTATTTCAGAGCGCACCCTTCTAAATGACCTTGTAGGTGTATTCTAAAGAGCAAAACACTATGGTTAGGTTGCTCACAAGCTAACGGAGTATCAATCGATGTAGTCCATTCTGCGAGGGGGGGGGCTAACCGTCAGATGCACTCACGGGGGACCAAACACAAATGCTTTCATCTGGATAGCTGTGTTCACGAGTAAAAACAACAGTACGGGACTAGCACTATGCTGGGGGAGGAAATCTATGTAGATACCTAGTCTTCGTTAAAGTACAAGTAAGCCCAGTGAACGAAATTCGCATATCTGTATTTGTTGGCGAATTTGCGTCACGAGGAGATTTGGAGTCGCCTTTCTTGTGGATGAGACACATCTTTTGAACAAGCGTGTATTTTGTTCCAGGTCTCGCGGGTTGATTTCGCTCCTGAAGGGATCTTGCTCTGAGAGAACCACGTGAGCTGATAAATACGAAGCCGACGCAAATGTTTTTGATAACGCTGCGAGGAGCTCAAACAGATTCTTCAAATTTGACCAGATCGAGCAACTGGGAAAACCCATAGCAGAGCACAGAGAATGTGATACAAACGAAAGGGAGTCGCATTAAAAATGGTTCCGTTCTTTTGTGAATCAGCTGATGTAACTGAGTTGTAACTGAGTTGCTATTCTGTGAGAACGAAGTATGTTTAGCCCCCCTCTCAGGGAGTGATTCAGTGATTCTTATAGACGATAGGATCTACTCGCGGGTTCTGAAGAGATGAGGACAACAGAACTCACCTCTTCTTCCTCGATAGTTATGGCTGCCAGTAGCACTGCTGATAAGGTCGGTCGGCTGCAGAAAACCAAGCAGGCAGGCTCAGAGATGCGGACACGTTGCACTGCCAGTAAATCTAGGGTCAGGATCGTTTTCCAGTCTGACGTACTAGAATTGTCTGCAGGTGTCATGAATGTGGTTTAGATGACAATGTTCTTGGAAAGTCATTCGTAACACTATTGCAGGTTCAGACAACCAATTGTCTGACAATCTTCCTGCCGAAATGATAAGAACCAATCGGGACAAAAAATCGACTGAAAAATTTAAAAGAAAGACTCAAAAGACCATTGATTGCAACGCGCATATCACACAAACGAAGCGAAACAGTTTCCAGCTTCCTTCAACACACTTGGCAATCGACTGAAAATTTAAAAGAAAGACTCAAAAGACCATTGATTGCAACGCGCATATCACACAAACGAAGCGAAACAGTTTCCAGCTTCCTTCAACACACTTGGCTCAATTCGCGTTGTGTATACAAGCAGTTTCGTAGATCTCAGAAATTTGCTGTAGCAATTTTATGTTGACTTGTTGCGATAGAAAACCCTCAAAGAAAAATGTTTTGAATAAAACAATCTTTGTGTGACTCGAAAGTTTTCTATTGCAAAAAAACCTCAGGAACACCGCATACTTATGCGCATTTAAGATGTCTAGTGCATTCCAGGGATGGCGCACTGCAAGGCAGGCGGTCCGCTACCAACGCTACAAAAAGCCGGCTGTAGAGGATTTGCAGTAATGTGATCCTACTGATACGTCCAGTGAGGTAGTTTCAAAGCTATTACGACGATTTCAAGGATACCAATGATTTTGGTACTACTGAAATGTGTAAACAAGTAGTATTGATGCCCACAAACATACACACTTATGATTCTCATGCCTGTCTGTCGCAGCGGGTACTCCGAGAGTAATTCTGAAAAGTCCCAGGCTCTTTAGTCTACTTGGGTCACGGGATTCTGGCATTCTGGTGACGTTTTTCGTCATTAGTATTTATTTATCTGTAATTGTCCTTGTTTAAGAAATCTCATTTACCGTCCTGCTTTCCACATATCTAATTCACTGATTACCCAGTTTCATCATCTTTCTTAAACGCCTAAGTTCTCAAACGTTTGCCAATGTCCGGCACATTCTCATGGTAGCAAACGGAGAATTTTATACAGCGGTTGTCAGAAACTATTTCAGTTTTGTAAATTTCGAACCGCACGTCTTCAGGCGCTGCTACGGCCGATAAGCCTAGCCCGCACGAGACTGGCCAAGAATTCGGGACGCTTGCCGGTCCGGTATCAAGACGAGATCTGATTGGTCGAGAATCTTGACCCAACAGCCAATCATGACCCAGTATTGGCCAAATACCGAATGCCAATGCCAATGGCGCATCCAGAACGCGTCACAAATTCCAGAAAGTTATAACCGCCTATGCTATATATACGAAGCGCTGTACAACTGTTCCTGACTTCGTTTTTTGGCATTAATAGACCTTGTGCACCTTTGGTTGTTGGTTTGACGTGAACGCTAGCTTGGGAGACTCAGACCGAGAACTTAACTGAGGAAAATACCGTTACTACAGTTGTCTGGACAGTTTTTGGAATTTTGATGAATATTTCGTCGTATAAGTGAAACCAGTCCATGCGGAAAAGCCAAAAAGTCACTCTCTTCTGAGTACCAGTAGGGTGGTCAAGCCTTCCAGAATAAACTAAGGCTTTTGAGGTGCACACTGATTTCAAACAGAGGTGAAGCCGTCGTGCAGTGCTTCTCCTGAAGAGAACATATGATCCATCCGTACATCCGCACACATCCGCGCATGGGTCATTGATGAATCCGGTTATGACGGCCCATTTCATTGTTTTCTCGCAGGAAACACAATTGAAGCTACGCGTTATTGTGCCCTGGCATCCGAGGAAAACGGTTGGGCTTCTATGAAAACAACGTGGGGCGTGATTCGTTGATAAGCAAGCAGAACGGGGTGCACATCATGGTTCCCTGATTCATTGCAGCGATTGATTTTATTACGCTGGGTATTACAAAATTGTCTAAAATGATTAACACAAAAACCAAAAAAGACGCCAATAAGACGGTCGCTTGTCCCCCCCCCACAAAGAATAAATGTGTTTGAAAATGTTCTTCCGGGAACTTTGTGTGCTTAGACTCCCACCGCCACCTCCCAGGTTGTCCCCATTCCGATCTGAACGAGGTTGCCATAAATCGCATTACATCCTGTCAAAATGTACTTCTGAACAAATTCGGTCCTGACAGAAGACTCGGATGAATCCAGCTGAATTCTATGCCTCGTGAGATATCAGGAATTTTTCAGCGACTTTATGAGTAGTATGTCACCTCTGAGCAGTAATGATCGGCGCTTAATAAGCGGCCTATAAAAGAGATTCCTTAATCACATGCCTTCAATGATTTTAGGTAGTTGCCCAGTGACCTAAATCATTTCACACTCATAGAACTAACAGACCGATTTTAGGTAAGATTGATTTTTTTTACCTGTCGCGGTTCATCAATTTGCCGCGACTCAATTAGACTGTGCTACTAAATTGATGATAAAAAGTGAGAGGAGACAAAGCTCCGGTGCCTACGCGTTCCACTAATTGATCTATCCCAAAAATTGTGCGGAACTAAAATTTATTCGGCTGACAAACGAACTTTGCCCGCCAGTCGTCGGTTAACAACTAATCCGACGTTATTTTGGTGTTGAGCAAATCAATCGAGAATAGGAGCAGTACGGTCACATTGTAACCGCCGTTTCTCATATTCCCTGGTCACACAAGAGTAGTCCATTGTGGCTAGGTAGTGACGAACGCTTCTCCCAGTTGAAATTTATAGAGGCGGTCAATGAGTGATCAGATTCGAGACACTTAGAAGTCAGTTCTAATTCGTGTAAACAAAATACCGTTATTTGCGAACGATATTGGTTTCAGCTGAGGACTCAACAGCATTACAGCGGAATCTCTCGTTTTGATGATATCCTTCAACTGGAACCCAGATGAATCTCTGGTTTGTAATGTTTCCAGGCAACTGATAGGCTGCACCAGGCCACCTCATGTTTCCGTTGCAAGTAGAACATGAGTTGACGAAAACTCGGGGACTGCGCTTACTTGACGGACCCCAAGAATGGCAAAGTGGTCGTGGGCTGCTGAAGGATTTTCGGCAACCTTGTGAATATACATGTGTCGCGATATCTTGAATATCGTAGCGACTGAAACATGAGGCGGTCTGGTGCGGCACTTTCAGTGGCCTGGAAACATCATAAACGAGAGATTCACCTGGGTTCAAGGTTTTGCAAACGAGTGTATTTCTCAACAACCCAGTATACTTTATACGCATGTAAGCTTGATCCTGTTAGTGTTAGGTTCATAGTCATTGTGGGGTCGTATATGTTGCATGTGCATGAGTCCAAGGGAAACAGCTATTACCAGACCTGGATATTCAGTCTAAATTCCCCCACTGCTCACAGTCTCGCCACCCTCAGGGGTCCAGTGGACTTTCAGAGTCCGGCCGATCAGCCGGCAAAGATGAGGGAGTAATTTGGACAACAACTTAAGTAAAACAACTCCTAAAAATGTGACGTGTAACCATACAGGTGATGGTATGTCATGTCCACCATTCGAGAGCTTTCCCATCACTGTCCATTGTCATTTATTTCTGGCTGTGTTTTTACGTTTTTCGACCATTTTCGCTACATTTGATCTAAAAAAAATGGTCACATCTGTTCGCAAAAGTCCTTGTAGATTGAAATTAGTGTCTTGATGGTTAATCAGTCTAAAGCTGATTGCAGAACCTTTACTTACCTAGGCATCAAAGTTTGAAGGCTTTATTTGGGTTCGACCTCATACACGTCAGCCGTAAACTCTGCGCGAATGAGCACAGGTGATTTCTGAGTTCCGCATCATATTTATGCCTACTGTTTTCGGCGGCAAGCTTCTGACGGACAATACATCCAGAATAAAACACATTATAGGCGTTTTCTAACAGTTGGAGTACTCTTCTCTTTGTCTTCGAACTGGTTAAAAGAACACTCTCAAAAATTCCCTCTTCTGAATGACATGTCATACAGAAGTGCTACAAAGCGGTTTGTATGTTCCTGTCCTCGATTACTGTCCCAGCTGAGTCACGTCTTTGCAAAACACTGGGAAGGGGGCTAAGGAGCTACCGTGTCTTATTGGGATAGCGAGAACAAAGTAAAGAATCACTGTGTGACAAGTAATCAGACAAGATAATTCAAGAAACTTCAAGGTGTCTGTCACTTTAGAAGTAGTAGTGACTCCCTGCTATACGGATAGGTAGATTGGGACAAACCAAGTACCTACTGGGTCGTTGAAACACACAGTTTCGCGCGCTAAAAAGAAAGTCGCTTCAGATAGCGTTGGATTGGACAAAGGTCCCTTTAACAGTGACTACTCCCGCATCCCCATAAATGGCATAGATAATTCGTGAGATAAAACAGAAAGTAAAAGGTATAAAACTGTCGATAGGCTTTCGCTCCTGTCACCTACAACGTGTGGCCGCAACCGAGGGCATAGTTTCAAATGGGAAAGGCGTAGATTCACACTGTGTATACGCAATCGTAACTGCTCACGAAAACTTGTCCATAAAGTGAGAAGTTGGAATGGATACTTGCAGAGACCGGAGTTCATTGGATCACAAAATTTATTGGGGCTCATTGAAGAGATTCGGCTAGGACGGAATAATAAAGACAGTCGGTTTGATGAAAAGAATGTCTCAGAGCATCAGACAAGTTAGACAAAGAGCTCGAGGCGAATTAGTGCTTAGGGTGGAGACCTGCTAAACGAAAGGTTTGAGGTTCAAACCAGGCCTTGCATCTCAACTTGGACGACTAGACAGCAATTCAGTCCTGGTGCTGCCTTCGGCTGGCATTTTAGCCATGCACCGGAGTGGTGTCACTACTGAAAAGAACAGCTCCTAGTAATTTGACGCTTTGAGGAAAGCAATCAACTCTGAAACAAGGTGTTTCGGTATTCGATTACCTTTCCTCGAACAACAAAAGGCTTAGGATCGTTTGCTGGCACAGATTGTATTTGGTAATAAGAAGAATTCCCATCATAACCATACCAGCGTGTGCGTCACTTATTGGATCCTTGACATTTTTCGGGGAGGGGGGTATCATTTTGTGTTGCACCAAACCGTTTTTCATGAATCGAAGCCTTTCGCAGGCATTTTTTGCACAGGTGCGCAGCTTCTTGTGTCAAAACGAGGAACTGGTTTGGGTACCCCAGCTTGCCTTCAAAGGTAATCGCCTAGAGAAAATGTGTGCATTTGTTGAGGGGCCACACTGTTACTTTGAGAATCGAAATAAGCTTTGTGGAAAAATATATCAGCCGTTCTAATTGCAGAATAAAAGTTTATCATCCACCTGTGTCGATCTTCTTTCGGGGACTGGAAAACACGTGACCAGACGGGTGATCGATGGTGCCAGAGTATTTCCTGTCAAGAAACGGGACTTATGTGGGACTTTTCTGCGGTTCAAACAAGTTCAGGGGCAGTGGTTCCCTTCAGTAAACCTTGAATTGCGCAACAGATAAGAGACAGTTGAATGTTGCAGGCAAACCACACTGCGCTTCAGCCGTTCGTGACCAACGGGTTACGTGTCCAACCACTGATCATAAAAGCCGCGGATACGAGACTCTCTGGATTTTTTCGAGATGCATATTGCTAATGAGTTCCAACTAGAACGAGAAAAAACAATCGGTGCCTTACTGCCATGCCACCAGAAGGGAGCACGAAGGCTGGGATACTGCCAGGTTGCCCAAGCCTAGACAGGGGAAGCCCAGAAGCAGAGGTCGGGTTCGAACCATAGATCACCTGCAGAGTAGATTCGAGCTCTAACCACTAAGCCATGCTGTCCCCTGTACCAGCTGTACATTGCTTCTCGGCTTTGCAGGAAGAGTGGTTTCACTGAGAGAAGGAAGTCTCAATCGAAAACCTTTCTAAGGTTGTATTTCAAGGTCACTTCCCAAAAAGGAACCGAGATTTCACAAGCATCTTTCATAATACGTAAGACTGATCGCATCTGTCGTATGAAGTGATGCTCTGTACACTTTTCTAAACACCAGCCACCACGGAACTCGGTTGAGCCATTGCTCATATTGAGGCAGGCTCAGTCGACTCAACAACACAACACATTTGGTTGAAGAACACGGCGTACAAATTTCATTCGGATCTTCCGTTCACCCGGTGTGTATCCAGAAGCATGATTTCACCATCTGTGATCACATATCATGTGAACGCATTGACAGAGTTGCGCGCCGAGTGCACATCTCACCAAGATATTTTGCCAAATGGCGAAACCGTGGGTGACCAGCACCCGCATCCGTCAGATCAACACGCACTACGTGCTCCGTGCGAGGGATCCAAAAACCCAACGTGACGAAATATCCAGCCAACTGGAGGTCCAGTACAGACAAGGCCGCTCCTAAGCGGAACGGTCACCAGGTGAAGATTGAAGTCTCAGATAACCATAGAGGGACATGAACAGTATTAACCCGCATATCAGTCGGCGAGGTGACACACTTCGTGTAAACAGAATCGGGTAAGGAATGACCTTCACATCGGATGAAGCAAAGGTCAAATGCGTCACACCTATCCAATCAATGTACCCTGACAGATGAACAGTTCTTTGGCTCTCAGCGAAATGCACTCATTTGCAAACAAACTTGGTTTTGCGAGATACTCACCTGGAGCTCAGCTGAATCTCCAGGCAGCGGAATGCGCTGCACCATGCCGCCTCATGTTTTAGTTGGTACCATATTCAAGATATCGCGATACATGTATACATGTAATGCAATACTCATAAGGTTGCTGAAAATTCTTTGACAGCCCACGACCGGTTTTGCCCTTCTTGGGGTCCAGCAGATAGGCGTAGCTCCCGATTTTCTGTCAAAAAGTGGCTCCTTTATGAAAATATACCTCGATATGTCTAATATCGTACCAACTGGAACATAGGTGGCCTTTGTGCAGCACACGAACGAGAGATTCATCTCAATCTACCGCGAAATCTGGTTCAATATGCAAATGAGTGCATTTGTCGCGAACCATCGTGTTTTTCAGTCTATCCAAAAATGATAACACCGCCTTATCTACGGTCTCATTGGATGAGAGTGGCGAAATTACTTGATGAGTTCGTGTGGTGGAATGACCTATGAACCGACATCATTACAAATCTGTCAGTATTCCGTTACAGAATGGCACACCTAGTTCCTGTACACATTGCACACATCGTCAAAATGTACTTTCACACAGACAATCAGACATAAACCATCACCTATGGGAAGTCAGATGAACGAAATGTGAGTTAGCACAGCCCGTGTCCCACATCGAACTTTGATAAACAACATCGTGTCATATATTTAATGCTAGGTCTAATCATCCGTTGTTTACCAAAAAAATAACTCACGGAATCATGCAAACGATTCACGCAACAAAAACAGCCAATCCGAAACTGGATTCGATCGTAGAGAATTCAAAATCAGAACACTCGAATCTTCCAATCCGTCGGAGGACTGGTGGTTCCGGTGGTTTTACACCGAATCTCGCAGACTTTCGTACCTCTAACTAGTCCGGTCAGCCCGACTGACAGCTTCGCCCAAGACCACAGATCAACAATATCAGCGATGTACAAATTTTCTACAGCTACACCGTTGAATGCACTAGGTGAGGCTACGCCCTCGGCGATATTACCTGAGGATTTGCGATGTAAATCCTTGTCTTACACCGTCAGTACATCCGTCGTCCTTATGCCTAACCTCCAAAATCCTACTTTAAGGCTGTGATGCAGGACATATGATACTCAAGTATAAAGTGCTACTGAAAGATTGGGTGGGCTTGAACCCTAGCCTCATGCTTGCGGATGAACCGATTGAGGTAGTAGACAAACTTGTTTACATAGGCAGATATATCAGTCCCGGTAGTCTCGCGAAAGATGAGATTTCCATCCGGATTGGGAAGGCCAGAGCAGCTTTTGCGAACCTACGTCACCTGTGGCGTAGGTGTGACATCAGCTTCTCTGTCAAGGGTCGAGTTTACAATGCTGCGGTGCGCTCCATATTACTATATGGATCAGAAACCTGGCCGCTGCGCTCCGAGGACGTCAAAAGACTTTCAGTGTTTGACCATCGATGTCTTCGGAGCATTGCCTGAATCTGGTGGGAACACCGGATCAGCAATTCTGAAGTACGTCGAATGGTATTCGGGAGAAATAACTCACCCTCGATAGATGAACTGATCAAACTGAATGGGTTGCGCTGGCTTGGCCACGTGCTGCGTATGCCAGTCGACCGACTTCCTCGAAGGGCTTTTTTCGCACAACCACGTGAAGGGTGGAAGAGAGCCAGAGGCGGTCAAACAATGACTTGGCAGCGAAGTGTGAGAGCCATTACCAGCAAACTCAGCTGCGCTGGTCATGGTCGTCTTCCTGGATGGGGACCCCGAGACGGGCCACATCAATGGCTGGAGACATTGTCAGACATGGCCCAGTCGCGCCCTCAATGGCGCTCGTGCACCCAAGCTATTGCCTTCAATGCATAGCTCCTTTTCCACCACCCCCCACTTGACAGTCCACTGACAGTGCTGGATTTATGCACCAACTTACCAGCTCGCGCCTGCAATGCGCAGCTACCTCCCCCCTCTCCCCAAATCATCGGTGAACGAAAGTGTGGCAGAACCACCGTACGACGAGTATGCGGTTATTACAGCTGACAAGGAACCAGTAAGCACATCTGAAATAAGGCCAAACTGCAGAGCTTTTTTTAAACTGTTATCTCGAACAACAAACTAAATGGGTCAATCATCTCTTAGTGAAACCTTAGTAGAGCAAACAGTTGGACGGACCTAAGCGATGCACAAAATACGCTGTCATCCAAAGCAATCTTCCAACATCAACGAAAAAAATGCCACGAGAACTAACAGTTAGTCCTCTAAATGAGGATCAACACATATTGCGGCACATATTTCACGGCACGTAAGCACGGTATCTACGTTTAGTGACAAGGTTTGTCACTCATGAGAAACGTGGCGTGATCTCACACTGATTTTGATTCGGAATCTGTTGTCCACATTGGTGGGGCAACTCATACCACCAGATTCTGGAAGAATACTATGCTTTACAAATGGACTCCCATAGTCTTCATTAAAATTGAACGTAAAAGTCCACGACTCACATCGCCTGTTTTCAAGGTTACCCAGAAAACTCAAACTAGAGGGGACTTTTGAAAATGTACTCTAGTAAACTTCGTGAGATCCTCGGCTGTGCAACATGTGTGCCACTAAGTTGAGTCGAATAAGCGCCCCCTTCCAGTTTGGTAGATAATTCAAATTGTCAGACCAACTATCCACCGCACTTTCTGAATCGTGAGCAAGGCGAAAACGGAATACAGCGGATCTGGTTGTTGCCATGACTTTGCGAAACACACCCAACAATTGAGGGGTTATTGGTTGCATTGTAACCCAATCCTAAAAGTCATCTCGAAACCTAACCAATGAAAAAAATGAGGAAGAGGCACTTGAGGTGGGATTCAGTTCCTTTTTACCCGTTTGAAAACATCACAGAGCCTTAGCAATGGGCTTCGATCGCTCTTGTTCAGCGACCCATTTCGGATTGACTGTATCAATATCGAGATTCGGCCCTCCTGATGAAGTGCCTTTCCATGAGATTGTTGCAAGCGGGTGTGATTAACAGACTCGCTCGTACAATCGAAACAAAAAGACTCAGACCGCTGAGTCTGGAAAGCTGTCCCCGGACTCTTATAGCGGATATTTCATTCTTCCGGGCTTTGCTGTGGCAGCTCACATATCTCAGGGCCACGGGGATAAGACCTCAAGAGGTCTCCCTCAATCGTCATATAATTCAACAAACAGGAAATCACACGTACAGACTGAAAAGATAATTGAGAAAATGAATCTTATCTCCTTAGCTCTGATTTCTAAGAACAACTCAACAATTTATTGTGTTGACGCCCACTTGTTTATCGCCCACTTCATTCTGAGACGTGCGTGCAATTACCGGGGGAAAGTCCAAGGAGCTGTTTCACGTGACCGCTGCTACTTGTGCCTCGGCCTTTGATGTTTATCACGTGAGTCAGAATGCATGCTCAATAATCAGGAGGATTCTTGTTCACATTCCAATCACGTGAAGTACAAATAACTGTAGAATTGTTGGAATGCATCACGGTGAATTTGGCTGGCGCCATCACTAACGGGAGTGTTGTAATCCTCATGCTACATGTTACTTTCAAAAGCAACCTTCTAAGACGAGAAAGGTAATCGAAATGAAAAATCTGGCTTGATGTAGGAAGTACTCTGTTGACATCCCCAGATAACCCCAGATAGATCACTGCACCAATGTATCCTGTCTTCTCATGATCACAGCTTCTAAATGATTCTCGATGCGTATTCTCCAGAATTGACGATGGCATTATGCATGGAAAAACTTACCGGCTAATCAGTATGAGTCCTAGTGAAAAAAACCGGTATTCTCCCCGCCCTAACCAGCTCACAGATCTCGACAAATCTATAGGAGATGCTTTTGATAGCCTTTAGATAAATCTCTTCGTGTGGTTGTCGACACCTGGAGAAATCACCATCGAGAGAGAGACCAAAATCATCATCATCATCATCAACGACAGCATGACATCAGTGCTCAACACCAATGCTTCACTGCCGTACAGCCATGACTTATTTGAAAGCCTTATTGTAAAGAAAAGAATAAAGGTGGATGGGGGAGGGACTTAGTGCTAGCTTAACACAATCATTCCGAGGTGCCTACACCTCCAGACATTCATTCAGGCAATCTGGACAGAAACTATGGGTCCCATCTGTCCTGAACATTGTCTGAAGGGACAAAAGAGAACTGCATTTTAACGACTTTTGTCACTCCTCTTCATTTTCTGCCGACCATCCTCCGGAAGTAACATCTTCTTTCAAATGGTCTGAAGAAGCATTACACCGCAGTAGCCATGATGTTTGCATCGTCCAGAAAGTAGACCATAAAATTTTTGTTGTCATTGCGCCTCAGCCATTCATTTCAGAGCGAATTACAGTTTACTCCTCCTGCTACGGATATGCAGTCTGGGTTGAGTACGACTGTCCTTAAACACGCACTCGGGCCATTTTTGTACCTTTTTCAGTAATTTCGGAAGTAAGCGGAACCATGTACAAAATTGCCAAGAAATTAGAGTTCATCACACTGTTTGGTATTATTCGGTGTCTACTGTAGTTCACGGTAATCATCCAGATTATCCAGTATCATTTCCGACTGTTGGGCGCCGGTCAATACGTGAAGCTTTACGCTGATCACATGAATCTCGTGAACAGATTTTAAACTTCAGCACGTGAACAGCGGCCTAGCCGTAAGTCGAAACCGCATGGACAACATTCCAAGTCTGCTTAACTTTGTTTCGGTCTCGTTTAATCAGGCGTGCAATCCGGTATACATGAGACAGACGGAGATACGTGTTAACGAAGTCAGGTATATTTGTAATGTACTACTCATAAGGTCGCTGAAAATCTGTCGACAGCCCACGACCGGGTTCGCCCCTGGTCGGCTCATCAGGTAGGCCCCAAATTGCATGAAATTGGTGTAATAAACTCATTTGCAAACTAATTTGGTTTTGCGAGAGACTCACCTTGAACCCGAGCTGGATCAAAACCGAGAGATTCAGCTGGGTTGCAGGTGAGTCTTTCGCAAACCAACTTAGTTTGCAGAAGTCAGGTATAGTCTAGCAATGGGCTGTTTCCTTATGCAAGATAAAGGTCAAACATGGTGATAACTTTTGCGTAGAACAGAACTTGTGTAGAGCATCATCATATCACCAAATGAAGGTAAATATATTTTTGGATGGATATGGAGTAAAGACAGAAATATTTATTGCTTCTATGCATCATTGAAAGTGAGAATACAGCCTAGTTTTTGCACGAAAAAACAGTACTTGACTGTTCCAAGAGATTATCCTCCTTGAGTTGCGACCATGCCAAAGTGACAAAATGAAGGAGTACTGGCCTTGACTTTTTGTCCTCCAGCTGCCCTAATAATAGTGCTGTTTTAGTAGACAAAGTCGACCTGATTTTTGTTTCAGATTAAATCGGAAAGATCACGATGTTTCATCACTGCACAACAAAGGCTATGCTTTCTTTCAAGTGCGCATTGTGATACCGTTATCGCGGCCATCGTAACAGAATAGACAGCTAAACACTATGTGTGTGTGTGTGTGTGTGTAAAATCTCAATCGATCCAAAGGTTCCGTTAGAGACACCGGACAACTTTGAAGCAGTATCGCGCCAATTTGTCTCACTGTTTTTTTAAAGTGGGTCGTCAGAGACAACAAAGATGAGAGACCATTTCCAAATTCGACAGTGTACCATAGCCTTCTCAGAGACCATTTAGAAATGGGACGGTGGAATGAAGAACAGTCTTTTCTTGTTCACCCATCACAGACACAATTCTTCGCCTGCTCCGTCAACTAGTTTCACTTTGTTCAGGTTTGGATGCGACCCGAGAATGAGCTTTGCGTACTGGTTGGTCATTAATGAACTGTTGCATGCATTCAGCACTCCATAAACGAAGGTAGTAAAAATTTGAGATTTCTTCAATCTATCGAAAGATGCACTCATGTGCTACATGCGGAAGGCTATCGATCTTCCAGTCACGTGTTTTCATGTACACTCACATTTATTGCCGCGACTAGTTGCCGCAGTGAGCTGCTGGTCTTCGGTGTCCATATTTGTGATGTACTCCTCATAAGGTTGCTGAAACTCCGCCGACAGCCCACGACCGGTTTCGCCCTTCTCGGGGCTATCAGGTAGGCGCAGTCTCCGAGTTTCCGTCAACCTGCTGTTCTACTTGAAACCAGATTGCCCGAAATCAGCGAATATATACTCATTTGCAAACCAATTTGGTTTTTTCGAGAGACTCACCTCGAACCCAGCTGATTCTGTCGTTTGTGATGTTTCCAATTATAGACATGTATCGCGATATCTGGGATATCGTAGCGACTGAGAAATGAGGTGGCCTGGTGCAGCACATTCAGTTGCCTGAAAACATCACAAGCGAGAGATTCAGCTGGGATCCAGGTGAGTCTCTCGAAAAAACCAAATTAGTTTGCAAATTAGTGTATATTCCTCGGTGTCTGTTTACAGACTTATGAAACGACTCCCCATATGTCGCCAACGGCATCCGAAGACAGGTTCATTTGGGGTGCGGGAACTAAACTTCCGTATTGGGAATTGTTCGTTTTCACTGATGATGTTCTCCAACCTAACACAAACGTCGTGAAAATGGCCTCAACATAACGCGCTTCAAAACAAACTTCAGTAACAACACTTGAAAAAATAGAAATTAATTTCGTTCTTTCTTCAATCAATAATTCGGACTTGGTCCAGACTGATGAATACTATGGTCTGTTAGATTGTTGACCTCAGGGGACTTCCACTGAGTGACCAAAAAATAGCATGGGATATCGTACCATATCCAGCACTCAGCTCCCGTCAAGATCCCTTCTTCACCGGAGGCAGGACTCTGATTATCGATCCACTTGCTTCCAGCATTATCGCATCTCACCCGAGTATGGATTGTGTCATACGTATTAGGTCGGTTGGTGCCACAATAAGCCACGATAAGCTGCAATATCGATTTTAGTTACCGCAAGAGACTGCATTTGGAAGCGCTCTGCTTTCGACTTTGAGAGCCTTAGTAGATGTGAATTGAGGCCAACTGTGTTCCTCTAGGTCAAATGACCCCTGGATCAAAACTCACACGTTGTCTGGGCTGGTCAGTGTGAATTTGAAAGCCTAGTGCAGTCAAATTGACAGATAAGTCATTCAGGCACAAACATCAAAGTCAAGTCTTAAGGTTACTGGGGCAATGTGCTGTGCAGTATCATCTGTCGAGTAAATAAAGACTGAAATAGTGGGGCTTGTTTTTTCAGGAACCCTAATGAAACACGCAAGCAATGCTGATCGGGCTCTCCCACTGGGGGACTCTCAAACAAAAGTCCCATACGGCTTGTAGAATCTCTATCCTTTCTTTACTCACTTTCTACCCCACTTTCCATCATTCGGTTGAAAGTTCCCGCTACTCAAGGTGTTTTATTGTGGTCACAGTATGTGGAATTGCATGTCTGAAGTACACTGCTTCAAATCGAACGCTCCTATAGGGTGCCCACACTTAGTCTGTCATCAAATTCTCCCGGTGACCTTTATCAGATGGCTGAATGGAGTGACCACATGACCACAGTTTGAAACGATATTGGCTGATTTATACCATGACCAAATTAGAAGGTATTGCCCCTTTGGTGGGTAAGGTCTTTTTAAAAAATAATCGATTTTATGCTGATATGGTGTGTGCATGTGTGTGCGTGCGTGCGTGCGATTGATTCGCTCTTATTTCCGGAAATACGTAACAGATTACCTCTCCGTAAATTCAACAGAAATAATTAAGCGGGACGATGAACTAACCCTCTTAGATGGACAGTTTTTTGCATGGGTGAAGAAGACGTCATCAAAAAGTACCTCATAGAAAACGTTCGCAAACTTAGGTTTTTATACAACCAGGTTACCATTCCCTCCTTACAAGAAGCCTCCAGTCAACAGCGAACTTGTTGGACGGGACTATTTTTCGACTTAACTCACTGCTACCTGGTGAACCCGTGTGTCAAAAAACGTGTCCGATATGCAAGGGAATGGCGTTTTAACGACAAACGCCGGGAGGCCATACCTAATAGAGAACAGCTTATTTACGAGGGTTTGGCAGATTCGACTGCGTAGCTGAATTTCACGTTTGACAAAGCCAAAACAAGTCGAGATGTAACAAATTATTGAAAACTTGTGGATGAAGCGTCTTTATGTTCTCAACCACCCATTTCTTGGAACCCTTGCTGGTTTCAAATGGCTTCGGCGATTTCGTGGACAGGTGTGCGGTTGTTTAGCAAGTAATTCTGTCACGTGAAACAGTCAACAACGTCAACTGCAGTGGAAGGGCAGTTTGGCTTTGCATATCGAAACATCGTCTACCAAGACTAGGGTTTCTTTCCTTCACTCCCGTGACCCCCTGAGCTTGGCTGGAGACATTGCAAGAAATTGCGGCTGGTCTATGTCCACAACTTCCGTGAAGTCAGTTCTTTCCAAATTGCCTGATTAAGCGTTTGAGAGTTAAGGCGCCTGGACGCACACACGCTGGACCAGCACCAGATCCCCTTCCTCGTTCAATCTTCTTCAGGTGTAACTTTGTGGTTCTAAGGCAGTGTAGTATCAACGTTGATGTTTCTGTCTCCAGTGATGACGATGATCATGATGATGACGATGCTGATGATGATCCTGGTTGGACACACATCAGTATTCGATATGACGGAAAAGGTGTTTATACCTGGAGAGAATGATTTTTAGGGGCAGTTTGCCTTCCACTGACATGTTTAAGTTTGTTTGTCTTAGAGAAGCAATAGAAATAGTCGAAAGTCAGCAAATGTGTGCAACGTTGGTCATGAACTCATGAACCTGTCTAAACGTAGACTTTCTGAATGCTCCGATGTGTAAGAATTCGCGTGCTCAGGGGAGAGCGGCTCGACTACGAAAATGCCTCTTTCGATTTTGGAAGAAAAGACTACTGGAGACATCACAAACGAGAGATTTAGCTGGTGAGGCTCTCCAAAAACCAAATTCGTTTGGTTTCGCTAATTTCGTGCCATTTGATTTCAAGTAGAACATAAGGTTGACGGAAACTCGGGGACTGCGCCTACCTGGTGAGCTCCAAAATGGGCCAAACCGGTCGTGGGCAGTCGGCGGAGTTTCAGCAACCTTATGAGTAGTGTATTACAAGTATACTGATTAGGTTGTTTGTTCAGTTTTAATCAAATTGACATTGCTTAGTAATTTTCACGTCAGCCATAGTGGCTGTTGCCGAACAATATATTTGTACTTCTTTTATAGTTTGACTGTCTGGTAGGTAAAAACTTTAGTTTAGAAATAGCGTAGATGCTCTTGCATGACGTTGTTATAGAATGCTGATCAATGCGACACCATATGACGGGAAGTCTACGAGAGACTAGGTTGCTAGCGGTTAGTTGCCAACTCATCAAGCTTTCCTTCTATAACCTCGGGGGACCCATTTAGTGTGGACACTTTACAGGAAGAGACGAAACTATCGTGAAACATTCTCAGTTCTTGTAAACCAACCGTACCCACCACAGAGCCAATAAATTTAAGACTCACATAAAAACGGATGGCTAGCTGTGAAAATGCAAGCTCACTAAAACTTACAAGTGCTGTTGGACATTAAACAAGCCTTGTTGGCCGTTGTCTGATGAGACAGTCAGTGAAGGATGGACTAACTGTTCATGTCGAACAGTCTAGCTGCTTTTATGGAGCTCTCGAGAGGGCTGGCACACGTGACCGTTTTCGAGACCAGTAGTTAGGTGGAATAGCATGGTGTATGGCACACCAACGGTGTTGAACAGAGCATCAGTGAATGCCGCGACGGTCAACAGCGAGGCCAGTCTAGTGTAATCCTGATGTTGGATTTAGCAGAAGCTTCCACAAATCGCATCCGTCAGTGTCCTTGGAACATCCTACACAGATACCAGGTTCGTCTTGGCCTTGCGAGCCGACGGTCAACAGCGAGGCCAGTCCAGATACCAGGTTCGTCTTGGCCTTGCGAGGCCAACGGAATTCAACATTCACAACACCTGGATCCATCCTTTTGTTACTCCAGCCAGTGGGCACCGGTTCGAACCTTTTCATGACCATTGTACTCATCAACCGGCTATATGTTGATCGATCCATTTGATGCCTATGTATATGAATCTCAAAAATCCATTGGGAACCAAGCTACTCCCAATCCTTGTTGGCGACAAATTAGATCAGTCCTGTAGCCATCACTGTAAGCCTTCTTTCAGGAAGGTTTGTCATTCATGATTGACAATTTCTCAGTTTACTCTCAAATGCGTGTTTTTGTGATTAGTTCATTGTCACTATAATCAACATTTTAGTTTTGCAGACCTTTAATTGACCTTTAACTACAGAACTTGAAGAACATTAGGAATATCTTGAAAGGAGAACATCGGGATATCGCGTTTTCGGGTGATTGTTTATCCCAACGCGGCCCCGTAACCTGAATTCAGACATTTCGCACGGTTTTTTGACGTGTAATTTTGTAACAAACTGGCTTTCAGAACATTTCGCAATGATCCATACAAATGTTTGAGGTTGTGAAACAAGAACAGCTGCCGTGTGAGCTGAAAACGGTTTTTCAACGATGCCATCTACTCACAAGGAAGGGGTGTTTGGTGTTCATTACAAGTTGTAGTATCATATTGAATTTCCACGTTGTGGATATTTTTATCACAGTCGGTTATCTGGTAAATTGTTTGCCAAATATTTGTTTTACCAGACTATCCCAGGAATCGATTAATTTGGGGGTTGTTGCTGTATAAGAGGCAAATTGTAATCTAAAGTTGACGTCCATCAAATGCTTGGAAGTCCACAACGGATTCCTCAAGGGCTCCAGGCTTGGAAGGGCTGATTCACGGATATCTTAACCTGATTAGGATTCAAAACGCTTGTATATTCAAGTATACAGCCCCTAATCGAAACGTCAGTAGGCAGCGTAGTGGAACAAGACTGGCCCCCGAAGCTCGTTGTCACTGCCTGACCGAAGGGTGCGTGGGGCTAATCACTGCCGTTTAGCCTCTCATGGCCCAAAAACTCAATTTCCAACTACTGACCGGAAGTGGACGGTTCGAAACACTCTAAGTTTCGTGAGATGTGTACTGCTGGTAATTCCCAGCAGGGATGAGGCAATACTTGACTTTTTAATACAGACAGGCTTCACCTACAGAAGGAAATGTCAATTGCATGTTTACTTCCTAAATGAACAAATGTGTAGAGGTAAGTGAAGTAAGCAGGTGAAAACTGCCGGTTAAGATGATTCTGTAATCTTTGTAATGTACTCCTCATAAGGTTGCTGAAACTCCGCCGACAGCCCACGTCCGGTTTCGCCTTTCTTGGGGCTCATCAGGTAGGCGCAGTCTCCGAGTTTCCGTCAACCTCCTGTTCTACTTGAAGCCAAATTGCCCGAAATCAGCGAATATATACTCATTTGCAAACTACTTTGGCTTTTTCGAGAGACTCACCTCGAACCCAGCTGATTCTCTCGTTTGTGATGTTCTCAGACCTGATGAGCCCCAAAAAGGGCGAATCCGGTAGTGGGCTGTCGACGGATTTTCAGCAACCTTATGAGTAGTACATTACAAATATATACATGTATCACGACATCTGGAATATCGTTGCGACTGAAACATGAGGCGGCCTGGTGCAGCACATTCAGTTGCCTGAGAACATCACAAACGAGAGATTCAGCTGGGTTCCAGGTGAGTCTCTCGAAAGAACCAGCTTAGTTTGCAGATGAGTGTATATTCGCGGATTCTGTAATCTCCTTCATTGACTAATCCGGATAGACCAGGATAAGAGTTAAAAAATAACCCAAAATTCTTTAAAAGAGTATTCAACAACCGTCATGTTATGTCCGGGAAATCACTTTGGGAACAAAAGAAGACTTGGTTGTGATCGTAAATTCGTTCACGTGAAGGGCTTATTGAGCGTTTTAGTGTGTGCCTGTCCGGCGTCGAATTACTCAGTCTGACGAGCTGAGCTTTGTGATTTAAGAACGAATATCTGGCTCCCCCAAATAATATATTGTACCAACTGAAACAGATTCGGTTGAAAAAGAATACGAAAAGTTCAGCTAGTAAAAACCGAATTCGTATACAAACGAGCATAATTCGAAGATTTTGTGGAGTAGGACGTAAGTTTAAGGAAAACAAGGGGATTGCGGCCATTGATAAGCCGAATCATCATCATCATCATCGACAGCATGACAAAAGTGTTCAACACCGATGCTTCACCGATGCCATCCACAACCAGCCACGCTTCTGAGGCATCGGTGGTCGAAAACCTGAAGACAACTCACATCATCTACCCGAAGAGGCCATGTCTCGCACCCATACAA